AACACTGTGCGAGTCAGACAGAACCGAGCTTGCACCAGACTGTGCCAGTAATTGTTCCACTGAGAGCTTCTCACGCACTTCTCATTAGATAACGCAGCAGGTCGACCCTCACAGTAGACACAGTCTTCAGTTCTTGACCCAGTATAGGATTGTAGCTCTCCTTTAAAATAGTAAGAGTGCTGATAGGGTTTCACACTGCGATACCCACCAGCCATATGCTCAGAGACCTTGAGGAGTGAGGACGGATACTTATCACAGATAACGCAGGCGAGATACCCAGCCTTAGGATGCAGCTTACCCTCGGCTAAAACCCAGTTATTGGTATCCCAGGATCTATTCCAGTAAGAAGCATCTAACTCAGAGTAAGTGATCGACATACCCACTCTAAGTCCTTCAGCAGTAGCCTGCATAATAGCATAGAGATCACGAGCATACCATAGTGTCCAATTTATAGCCATCTTATGCTCCCTGCTATGCATATGTGAAGACCTATCTCCTTCTTTAACTCTGGTTGAAGCGAGTTGTTTACCTTCTCTGTCGACCCAGACTGTTGGAGTACACAGCCAACTTTGGCCCAAACATAACCCAGAGCTAGCTTGTAGAACCTTTTCCATAGCCTTCTGCAGAGGTTTCCCAGTAATCATCGCAGTTAAAACCACAGTACTACACAAGGCAGGGTCTACAATCGGAGTCTTCACCTTGAAATCACGCAGAGATGCAGCACATTCAGGACTACCATCTAACCCAGTTCTACGCAACTGCAGTGTAGCCATAGGTAAGTAGCACTCATCTTCGATCTTATATCTAGCGTTCAACTCAGCACCATTACACTGATTATCATTCACACCAGTGTACTTGGCGTTATCAAAGACACCCAACAAGCTGGGTAATCCAGTACCACCAGTGGTAGTCCTTTCAGACCTCACACTATAATGTAATAGAATAGAGACCCAACCATCTTCGACAGAGGCTTTACACAGCTCTTCAAACAGTTGGCGAATCTCAGCGTTGCTCAGGTCACCCAGTGGCATCGATATCGACGACGCTAAACTGAAATTGGTCGAACTTAGCTTAATCATTTGAGGGCAAAGGGAACACAAGGAAGGATCAATGATTCCACTCTCAACATCATCAGAATAGTTGAGGGCATCATTGAGGAACTTAGTCGTACTCTCGTCACAGTCTATCTCACAGAACTGAACCGACTCTGAGGCACCAAAGTTAGGACAATGAGCAACCGTTTCTTGCTCAGCGTCACATCTTGCAATCTTGAACCCTTGCCATTCCTCAACTCTGTGTGCAGACCGTCTCGTCAACATACCATCAGGTCGAATATTCAATTCAATCCAGTCGGTTTTCTTCTCTTTTGGAGAAAAGCACCGAGATCTTAACAACGGAGTATAGTCTGCACCATGGCTCAAAGTCGGACGAGTCGAGCTGCAGGGCTCGACTCGACTCGACATTTCTCCGCCACCGGGCTCGACCGAGTTCGACTCGTCGAAAATCAGACGAGCCTCGACTCGACTCGCCGGACTCGACATGCCGGAAGGTGGTCAATACCATTGACTCAATAGGTACTAACTGTGACTGATGCCAACTAGGTTCAACCAGGTCTATGGAAGTCTCCCATTGGAAGACTTCAGCTGTCAGGTACGCATCTGTGAATGAACGTTATGTTCACAGACTGTGAGCATAACGTTCACAGATACCGTTCAATTTGAACGGTTCAAACTTGCAATGTTCGAATAATAGAAAGGTCCGCTTAGATTTGATTCCATTTATCCAAGGAAACACTCTTGAATCAAGAATCTTGATTACCGACACATTCATTGAATGAATTTCTCGGAATGAATTTCATTCCGAGCTTCATGTGTATTTAACTGCATTCAAAACATATGAATGTTCCGAGTTATGATGCTCGACCACCGAGGATTCTCTTCCCCATAATCTGAGAAAGACACCACAAGTCTGTCGCTAGACACGCTGTCAGCGTGTGAGTGCCTAGCCACTCAGCCACTCAGCGTGACACTGAGTGACCAGCATGACGCTAATAGGTCGATAGTCCAGCAGCCCGACTATTAGCTATCGAACTATTAGCGTCATGCTAGCCCGACTCCGGCTCGGCCGATCCGAGTTTTAATTCGACATTCCTAGACTCGATCCTCAGCGAAATCAAGTCGAAATGCAGTACCATCTTTGGTTCTCCGATCGGCCCAATAGTTGCTGTAGCTCGGCAGGAGTACGAGAACATCTCGGCATGTGAATTAGCAAGAACTGAGATGAATATCATGTCCGTGGCTATTCTGATACAGTTCAAGTATATACCTACATTCTGTGAACGATAGAATGGGGGAGCGTGGACGGAATTTGACCGTCAATGTCAGCGATTGCTGAACTTCGGTGTCTCGAATATCATATTTGTGGCTATTCAGATACAGTTCAAGCATACACCCAGATTTTGTGAACTAAAGAATGGGGAAGCGTGGACGGAATTTGACCGTCAATGTCAACGATTGCTGAACTTCGGTGTCTCGAATATCATATCCGTGGCTA